GGGACGTGCCTTTGGCAATGAACTTTCTTGTTTCTGGTTGTATGATGATGAAAATTGGCACAGACACTAAGAATGGCATCACAGTGCATCCATAAAAGTTTCGAGGCGATAGCACAAATACTTAATGAGAGACAAATTATTTTTCAATTGAACCTCATGGAGAGGCTGGAGGATTTGTAAAATGACAAAAATGGTTGGTAATTACTGTATGCACAGCCAAATGTATGTTGAAGGGGGCTGCGTTCTCAGAATAGTTTTTTTGCAACACTAAAACTTGTAGTTAACGTTTTCTCCACCGACACAGGAATGAGCACACTTGCACTACAAACAAGAAACCCTATAAAATATTATTTAAGGAGTAAAATGAGAAACTAAGATCGTAGCCCCTGAAGCACAGTTCAAGGAGCATTACAAAAAAATGGAATCAAAATCTGTACCGTGGTTGCCCAGATATCTGCACCACGAGCCGAGTATAATGCCAAAAAAACAGTATTGAGAAAACTGCATTTAAAGTTCTAACTTCTTTTTGCGTCTCTAAAACACCTAAAGATTGTGATCTTAGGTTTGTCTTGTGATATTTGACTTCTCAGGTATCTGGTCTCTGACCAGTGTGCCCTGGTGGCCCTTTTTTCCCCCATAACTTCCTTTTCATGTTTTACAAAGAACAAGTATAGATTTCAAACCAAGTTTTTTGTATGAAGGAGTGCTGTGATAGGCACGACAAAAAAGATTGTAATTGAATGAGACTGAAATGATCACACATATTTCTTTTGCTGAAGTTGTATTTAGCGTAATTAAGTACTTGATTACAAATAATCACTGAACATTTCTTTATTTCGAGAGAGGTGTATTGCATCATAAAAATGGATCACACCACGATGGCCTATGCCTTCTTTTTAAATAACAAAGTTATGGGCAGAAGACTGGTGGCACAGGAACTTTTAGCAGTATATTTAATGACTCGAAATGGGCATATAAAAGTTCGTGCCCCTGATTCATACATGCTCTTTTGTCACTCTAGCCGTGAAACGCATCATCATACAGCCGGCCGCGGAAACGCTAATCTACGAGGCTTTCATTGCCTCAGAACATTTATAGACGTTTGTGGCGATACCAAGCATGGCGTCAAGCACGTCTAAGTCTCATCACAAAAGCTTATTGACAGCACTCCATATGACCGTTGAGTGTGCGGTCGTTGGACAGTGCAGCCGGTGCGTAATGCGCTTGCCGGCGGCGTTTGGTGACGATGCGCGAAATGTGTAATTACGATAACAAAAAAAATTACGGCATATTCACGGGGTGAATGATGATGAATGGGCGAAGCTCCGGAGGGATTCATCGGTAAACTGTGAATCTTCCGTGTAATTCGCCCAGTCGATCATCATGTAAAGACGTGAGAAACGCTGTGTGTGTATATACACAAATCAACTTTTATTTGTTCTTAGACGATGGATGGCTTGCGATGTCCCTTCATTATGACGGCTTTATGGTCTGTGAAATGAAGGGAGAGCGGTTCCTGTATGGGTTGCAGTGGGCAATTTGCAAATACTAGGTCTATGCATGTTCCTCGGATCGTGGTAGGTTTCATATGGTCAAACGATATACGTCTGAGTGCATATCTAGAAGCCATATGTTGGATAAGCCAGTTATTGTCTATGATAGCCACGTTAAAGTCTCCAAGTAGTACAAATGGTCCATTCTTGTATTTGTTCTCATAATTTCGTAACGCAGTGTCTATGAATGTCTTGATGTTCTCGGTCGACAGGTTGGGTGCGAGGTACATGGTCATGAGGACGATTCCAGAGTCAAAGAGTTTGATGGCTGCATATTCTCCGCACTAAATCGAACGATTGCCTTCAACCAATGACACGCGCCATATGTGACATCATTCCTATTTTATAAGATCTCGCGTCTTTCATCAACTACAAGTACCGCTTTCTAGTTTATAACATCTTGCATCTTTTCATCATCAGCTACAAGTACCACCATCTAGTAAACACTACAAGAACTAAACGAGAGGTGGCTACATACAGGAGACGGTACCGCCATCTAGTGAACGCTGCAAGAACTAAACTAGAGGTGGCTTCATACAGGGGACGGTACCGCCATCTAGTGAACACTGCAAGAACTAAACTAAAGGTGGCTACATACAGGCTACAGGGGACGCACAGCCCACGCCCTAAGGAGCTTCGCCCCTAAAAATCGGCGCGCACTGTGCTTGGCATCACATTTTCGACTGACGACGCGTGAAACTGCTAGCCGCTGTTCCGAGCAATCCTTGGCAGTGAATGGGGGGGAGGGGGGGGCACCGAGCTTGACTGTTTGGTCCGCTGCCAATGCGTAAAATGCCCGTACGTGGTTCAGAGGAGCTAGCGAGTGAGGTGCTTCATTTTTTGTGAAGAAGCACGTCGGCACAAGTGCGCTAGCGCATCGTTCCTGCCCGCCGTTTCACTGTCGGCGGAGTTAGGGCTAAAGACGGCTTCTAACTAACGCGAAATTATATCCTAAGTGATCATCGAGCCGTGAAAAGGTAACGAAGTAGCGATTTTCGAGAGCCATGTCCTCTCGACGCACAAGCAGCAGACGACGTTTTCCTGGAGCGAGCATCGGGCCAATTGCAAGGAAGGAGAGCTGAGGCAACATGGCGGTCACAGCCAATCAAGGGCCTCGAAACAACCTTCAAACATTTGCTTTTTGTGTGCTGGTTTTTAAAGGGAGGAGCCAGCTGAGGTGGGAAAGTTAAACACAGACAAATGCTCTTTCCGATGAGCCCAAGAAGCCGGCTCCCGGCCCCGCCATCGCGAAGCTATAATTTTTCGAAAATCGCTGTTTTCTCACGATTTCCAGAATTATTTTCGCTACCTAGGTGGACGAAAAGAATTTTCCGAAGCACTTCTGCACAATTTTCAGTGTAGATATTTTGGAATCAGATAGAAAAAGGGTTCCAGAAACTGAAAACTTGATTTTTAAGAAATCGATTTTTTTGCGATTTTTCGCGATCCCAAAGACTCGTCCCCCTTTAAGGCAATTACGCAAGAGCCGGTAATTGCCTTGAAGGGTGAGGGGGTCGCAATCTTGCCGCTGGTTCTATATTAGCAACGAATGGTTGTTTTGCTCGCCGCGAGATGACTCGAAAAGAGACTGTGGTTGCTTGAGCGCGCTGCCAGTAGCCACTGGAGCACGCATGCCACATGTTCCCATGTTCCCTTTCATAAAAATTGACACTGGACACTCAAACCTTGATATAACGAACCTGGATATAATGAAATTGGTTATAACGAAGTAAATTAAGAATAGTTTTGCAATACTAAATATAGTGTTATAAATATACCTTTCTAACAAATCCTTGCATATAAGGAACTTATTTTGCAGTAAGATGCAACTTTGTTACAATGTGGTTTGAGTGTACTTAACTTAATAAGAACTTGTTGCTAGGTGAGCTGGTGAATGGAGTAAATTAAATGAAGCTGGCAGGGACCCAGTAATTATGTTTGGTTCAACAGGAGTTGCATTTACTCAGAGGTGAATATTGATGCAGAATCCAAGTACTTACCGACATCTTCATTTTTGCGCTAACGAAAGTCAGACATGTGATAGATAACGAGCAAGTGCTTTTTTTTATATGATAAAAGATGTCGCTGAAGCGCATAAATACATCCCTTGCTGATTTCTTTTTTTGTTTTTGTTATTTTATTGAGTCTGTTTCTCTTCTGCTATACACCCTGCTTATGAGAATGAGACTAAATAAGTAGAATGGTTTATTGTTTACTTGGTATGTGGATGAATTGGCTCAGGAAAGTAATGGGCCCAGGTTTTATTTCCTTTAATGGATGAAATTTTCTTCAGCTACAGAGCCTGCGTCAAGAAGCCTGTACTAATTTCTATTGTTGACTTTTAAAAGAAACCTTAGATTTCTTCATCTATTTCTGACAGCATATTTGGCTGATTTACAGTATTAATTTGTAGTTTTAGTATTTATGCATGAGTCATATCGCATTTCTTAAAAACAGAACCTTCAAATTCTTTTAACGTGTCAAAAGGTAAGCACGGTTTGCTTTGTTAGACATAGTTCAGCGGTAACATGGTAGCAAGGGTTGAGTTAAGGTAATAGCGTTACCGTGTCGCAAATGTTCGTTGTGGACACTGTGTTATAGCATAGGGAGATAGCATTTACATGCATATGCTGGTACAGTGCCGTCATCTAGCGAAGGGTTAGTTCATTAAAATTAGTGAAAAAAAAAAGAACTGAAAAATATTGTTTGTATCTTCATGTGTGCAGCAATATTAACAGTACTTTTTTAGTTATAACAAAAGTAAATTACTATGAACTATGCATCAAAAGAGCAAATCCTTATGTTCCAGGTTTGTTTGAGCACATCTAATGAGGCCTAGCGATGTTCAAAATGGGAATCGATTTCAAAAACTAGGCTAAGTTATGAGTAATATTGCAGCAAGATGGCAAGTTGGGCCAGTTGGATTACGTTAATAATTGAAAATTTTGTTGAAGTGCACTGAAAAACAGACTGACAGAAGAGGCTGTCTTTGTCAGCCTCTTCTGTCCATCTGTTTTTAGTGGGCTTCAACAAAATATTCAATAAGTTATAAGTAATACTTTGTCGTCAAAGCTACCTGAAGGCAAGTTAAGCCATTTTTCACAGTCTCTAGCTACGCAAAAAGTGGATCCGTCGCCACCAACTGTAAATGCAGTTCCTAAACCGACGCCATATTTTGCGTACACTACATAGACCATGCAAACACGGTAATGCTAAGTCTGAAAAATAGCTTGCGTATGGTACATGCTACAGGTCTGTTAGTCTACCACGCATGTGCATTTCCATCCCGTTATTCCGCTAAGCTCGCTATCTCACTAAGCCCGCTAAACTGCAGCTGTCTATTGACTCCTGCCATTGTACCTTGTTCCCCTTGCCTTTGCACTTCATTGTCCTTTCATTACTGTGCTCTGTACCGTGACGAAGAAAAGCTGAAACTTTCTTGAACAGATTTCATCAGGGCTTGAGGCCAAGCAGGAATTCAGGCATGCACTGACTGACCCGGAGAGCAAAGTCTGTGAAGAAGTGACGTGCTGCTGCTTCTCGCACGACAGAACGGCTGTTATCTTTGGCACCAGGAATGGCCGCGTTAGTGTGAGTGATAATTGTCTGTGTTTTCGCTTTGAACTGTGGCTCTATTTTATGTAGCAGCCATTGTGTACTGCCAGTACTAACATATGAGGTGGAAACCTGTAGGATAACAAAGAAACTTGAGAAGTTAAGAATTGTGCAGTGTGGTAGAGTGGAAAGTGGTAAGTTAAACATTATGAGGTGGGAAGATAGTATAAAGGATTAGAGAACAAATAGGTGAAGCGGACATTCGAAATAATATGAAGAAAATGTGGTGTTGGGCTGGTCATGTAATGTGAAGGATAGATAACCAATGGTCACATGGTGATTAAATGGATACCAAAATATGAGAAACGTATCTATGAATGGCGAAGGGGCAGATAGAGTAATCAAAGGAAGAAGTTCGCCAGCTTAAAATAGAACAGGCTCACGCAAAGGAAGGGAAATTCGAAGTCATTGGTATAGGCCTTCATCGTGCAATGTAGAAAAAAGTGACTAAATGTGTTGCATTATGTGGCATTCTTCATTAGAGGTGTATGTTGGTACGAGTAAAATGACAATCGTATGTGATGTCAGGTTAATGACTACAGTTACCAGTAGTAGCTAAAAAAATCTCGGTGGACCAGCTTTGGCACACCTTGCCCTTGTCACACAAGGGTTTCCACAGTGAGAGCTCGTAAGTGCGGTTTTGATCTGACGACATATGAACGAAGTGAGCAAATAAGGTATTAGGTGGGGTTCAACAGTTTTGCTGGTGCATTTTCATCTTGAGGCAAGGTGTCAATCTATTTTGTTTAAACTTGTAATTCGTGTGTTAGTTTTCCTATTCACTTAGTACTTTTACATTGCAGCTGTTTCATTTGGGCACAAAGGAGTGTAAGGCTTTGGGCAACCATGATGGCAGCGTCACATCAATAATAGCTTGGCCAGAAGGTCTAGCTATTTCAGGCTCCCTGGATTCAACAGTGAAGGTAGGCATTGTTTTCTCATTGAGGAGTGGAGCCTACCTTTTTTAGCCTTTGCTTGTTCGTACCACGTTAGCTTTGGGACAGTCTTCAGAAGACATTCCCGTCCGGCATGAATTATGATAAACTGTTTGCAAAACTGTCCAATTCTCTGAACCTAATTATGAGGCACACTCTGTTACATTCCAACGAAGAAAGTTAACTAATATGTTGTTTCGTATGAGTTTTAGTTATCTGTTCTAAATTAGTGTAATTGAATATTTAATTATTCTGCAGTCAGTCATGTTTCATTTTTACATACAAAGAATCAATTCTTAGGTTCAAAATTCATGTACAATGTGTTTTTGTTTGTATTGATTTCAAGCAAAGAAAAAATACTTTTATCGATGCTATAATGCGGCGTGATGACCAAGTGGTCAAACATTGTAGTGCCTTCGTCTTAGTGGTTGGCTGCAGTCATAGGCAGCATATCGAGGTTAAGAAAAAAGGAAGTGGCTTCATCTTGTGCACATTGTGTTTTGCTCTTTCTTGTCCACTTGTTCAAGCAACGCTTAAAAACACGTTGCGTCCACATATGTGGACGTTGTACCTGACGGGATATTATATAGGTGGTCACAGAACCTTATGTCGGAGACAAGGACTAATGGCTGGCTCCCCTGCCTTTTTTTTTTTTTTCCACACTTTTCAGCTCTGGCACAAGGATGGTTTTCACAGCACGCTCGTTGGCCATCGTGGTCAAATCACGGCGCCATGCCACCTGTTTGGAGACAACCTAAAGCTTTTGTCATCGTCAGACCAGGGCGAGCTTATGGTGAGAGATTCCTAGATACACTTCGTCACGTACCATTGGGTGAAGTACAGTAGACTCTCGGTAAATGGAAACGCTTGAATGGTATTGCTGCTTAGAACTGCTTCTGGTATGATTGGTTTCGCTCTTGAATTCTATTGCCCTATCCATCACTCAGTAAATGGAACCCACCCTAATTATACGGAGCATATTTTCCTGGTCTCTTTCAAGTTTTTATTAAAGAAGCCCTGCAACATTTTTCTAGCATGGTCAGAAAACGCGTCCAATTTGATGTCAATATTTTGGAAATTATTCTGAGGACGTGAGAGCATTTGACTACAATTAATCACTAGTAATCAAACTTGCTACAATAAAATTAGAACCTTCTGTGGATTAAGAAAAGTAATAAAATGCTGCTTGTCCATTTCTGTTTGGTTTATAGAAATAGAATAACTGCCGGGCGTTACTTTGGGGAACAGTGTGAGTGGTTCAAAAGTTTTATTTTCACCTGCTTAAACTAGGCAGGATATTCCGTCTAGCCGGGCCCAGTTGAACCAAAACATGTCTGCCATGTCGGAGCCAATGGTAGGAAACTAAATCAATGGCTGTTTTTTAGGCGGGCAATTGGAAGTGCGCTAACTGGATGCGGACCACCAAAACGTGATTTTATTTCAAAATAAGCACTTCTTTGGCACAAAAGTAACACTACAAGGTTTCTGGACCGCCATTTCAGCAATCAATGTCGACTTAATAGTTGCCTTTAGTGTCCCTTCCACCTACGTAAGACAGAATGACGGCAGGCTTCTTGCAATATATTCTAGGGACGGTTGTTGTCCGGCCATTCAAAAATTCAATAAGGGGAAGCAAATTGCTGTCTTGCTGTCTTCTTTCTGCTTGCACGAAATCGTAGTGGTGTCAACGACTCCTACAAACACCATGCTGTCATCTTCTGTGTCATCGTCACGCTTTATCGGTGACCTTGATAAGCAATCGGCGTTGGCGTGCTGCCGTCCGGACTTATACACGACCGTCATATCAAACTCTTGAAGGCGTAAGCTCCACCATGCGAGCCGACCAGACGGGTCTTTCAAGTTGGTCAGCCAGCAGAGGGAATGATGGTCGCTGACTACGTGGAAGGAACGACCATAGAGGTACGAAGGAAACTTCATAACCCCCCATACGACAGCAAGACACTCTTTTTCTGTTGTGGAGTAGTTGGACTCGGGGCTGGAAAGCGTCCTACTAGCATATGCGATCACACGCTCGGCTGAGTCTTGCCACAGGACGAGTACAGCGCATAAACCCACGTTGCTGGCATCTGTGTGTACCATGGTAGGAGCATCCTCATCAAAGTGAGCTAGCACAGGCGGAGTCTGCAGGCGTTGTCGGAGATCGTCAAACGCCACCTGTTGATCGTCGCCCCATGTGAACGAAACGTCTTCTCTTGTGAGTCCTGTTAACGGCGAGGCTATGTGGGAGAAATTGGCAATAAACCTTCGGTAGTATGCGCATAGGCCAAGGAAACGCCTGACTACTTTCTTGTCTTTTGGCACCGGAAATTTTCTGACGGCCGCAATCTTATCGGGATCAGGTCGAACACCTTCATGGCTCACCACATGGTCTAAAAATTGGAGCTCCTTGAAACCGAAATGACACTTTTCGGGTTTCAGTGTCAGGCCGGCAGACCTTACTGCCCTGCATACCGATAGCAGCCTGCTCAGGTGTTCCTCAAATGTTTTTGAAAAAACAATGACGTCGTCCAAATAGACCAGACATGTCTGCCACTTAAGGCCTGACAGAACGATATCCATCAGTCTCTGAAATGTTGTGGGGGCTGAGCACAATCCGAATGGCAAGACTTTAAATTCATAAAGCCCGTCAGGCGTTACAAAAGACATTTTTTCTCTATTTCGCTCGTCGACCTCAATTTGCCAATACTCACTTTGAGGTCCATTGATGAAAAGTAGCGTGCATACCTCAGCCTGTCGAGTGAATCATCGATGCGCAGTAATGGGTATACATCTTTCTTTGTCACACGGTTCAGCTTGCGGTAGTCGACACGAAATTGCAAGCTTCCGTCTTTCTTTTTAACTAGCACTACCGGCGATGCCCAAGGACTTCTTGACGGCTGGATGACGTCATCATCGAGCATTTTCTTCACTTGTTCCTGGATTGCTTCGCGCTCTTTCGGTGCTACGCGGTACGGGTTCTGTCATATTGGCCTTGCCGTCTCCTCCGTTATTATCCGATGCTTCGTCAGTGGCGTTTAACTGACCCTTGAGGTCGATGAAAAATAGTCTTTGAACTGGTGAAGAAGATCTACTAGACGCTGTCTCTGCACTGGTGACAAATCCGTGCTTACGTCAATAGGTGGTGGGGCTGACGTGGCTTGCGGCTCATCCTGTTGTACTACACAGCACTCGCGGATTTCGGTGATCTCGTCGAAGTAGGCAACTGTAGTGCCTTGTGTAATGTGTCATCGCTCGTTGGTAAAATTCGTCAACAGAACCTCTGCTTCACCGCACACAACATTAACGATACTTCTGGCAATTGCAATACCGCGAGAGAGTAGAAGCGTCAATACTTGTTCAGCGATTACTTCTCCAGTATTCTGCTCGCTGCACGTGACAGAAACAAGGCGGCACAATAACGGAGGTACGGTCACATCGTCAATGACTCACAGGGGTTTTCGGTGTACCGCTGCGCTTTGATCCGCTGAAAAGGTCAGTACACCATCCGAAATATTGATGATGGCACCATATTCACGCAAGAAATCCATTCCCAAGATTGCCTGTTTGCAACACTCAGAAAGAATAACAAAAGTTGCGAGGAAGGATGCATTCCCTATCTTCACTCTTGCGGTGCACTTTCCGGTAGGTGTGAGTAGCTGCCCTCCAGCTCCTCTAATCTGCGGTCCTGTCCATTCCATTCTAACCTTCCTGAGCGTGTCTGCCAGACTCTCACTCATTATTGAGAAGTCCGCGTCAGTGTCGACCAATGCCATGTCATGTCCGTCAATCATAATTGCAACTTCGGCAGTAACAACCCATCTTTCGTGAATTCATTGAAAATATGTCTCTCTTTGCTCAGCAGTATTGAAGGATTTTCAGCACTTCGACGATTCGCAACCTTCCCCCCTGAGGTCGCTGCTTTTAGTTTCCCTGGCGTGGACTAGGAGATCTCCCTCTTGGCATGTCAGTGGTGCTCCGTCTAGAGGATGAAGAATAACGCCCAGGAGAGGGTGAGCGTGACCGAAACTCAGGAGGAACATCCCGGGGGGTCATGACACTCCTGTCGACGTCAGGTGTTCCGTTGAGATGGTGTCGAGGAACAGTGGAAGGAAACCCTTGGTACCCTGCGGCGCGATACGGGCAATACCGAACGATGTGGCCTGCTTCCCCACAGTGAATGCACAGGGGCCTATGATCAGGGGTACGCTAGATGTCGGTTTTGCGAAGTGGTGGTTGCCTCGGCGTCAAAGTTCCTCTGTAGTACCAAGGCGCTGTTGGCGGATGTTGCTGGTGGTATTGATGTGGTGTCGGCACGTTCGCTGGCTGTCGGCGGACTACGTCTGCATAGCTTGCCTAGGGAGTGCTCGTGTTCGGCTCAGGAAGCGAGAGCGCTTGCCTGATCTCCTGGCGTACAACTTCCGTTACTGAGGCAATCGGGCAGTCATTCGGTTTGGCGACGAGCTTCTTGACCTCTTCTTGTTCGATTTCTCGTATTAGTTGGCGCAAAGAACCTTCGTCGGGTGTTGTTGCTGTGGTCGTGGCTGCCACGCTGATCGGTGAACTGTGGGTTGGGCGGTCATACTGGGGATAACGTAGGTGCAGTGCGCGTTCGATAGATGTCGCCTCCTTGGAGAATTCATCCACACTTGTAGGCGGGTTTCGTATGAGATCAGCGAAGAGCTGCTCCTTAACGCCCTGCATGAGGTGGCTAACCGTTTTGGCTTCGGGCATATTAGGATCTGCTCAACAAAATAGCCGCCCCATGTCCTCAACAAACATCGCGACGCCTGACAACAGGGGGGCTGTTGTCAGGCGTCCCGAACATGTACCCAGCGCCTCCACCAGTGTCACAATGCAGAAACAGCAGCAGTTGAATACAGGAAACTCATTTTAATTGTACCAGAACACTGGCAAACTGATCGGAAGAAAACCTCGTCTTCTCTCGCTGCACGTGCTCTTCGTTGTTATCTTGGTGGTGCATATTCAATGTGGCAGTAGTGCCTGTAGGGGATATTATATAGGTGGACCCGATGGTCACAAAACCTTATGTCGGAAATGAGGACTAATGGCTGGCTCCCCTGCCTCTTTTTTTCCACACTTTCCAGCTCTGGCACATGGATGGTTCTCACAGCACGCTCGTTGGCCATCGTGGTCAAATCACGGCGCCATGCCACCTGTTTGGAGACAACCTCAAGCTTTTGTCATCATCAGACCAGGGCGAGCTCTTGGTGAGAGATTCCTAGATACACTTCGTCACGTACCATTGGATGAAGTACAGTAGACTCTCAGTAAATGGAAACGCTTGAATGGTATTGCTGCTTAGAACAGCTTCTGATATGATTAATTTTTCACTTGAATTCCATTGCCCTGTCCATCACTCAGTAAATGGAACCCATCCTAGTTAAATGGAGCATATTTTCCTGGTCTCTGTCAGATTTTCATTAAAGGAGCCCTGCAACGTTTTTCTAGCATGGTCAGAAAACGTGTCCAATCTGTAGTCCATATTTTGGAAATGATCCCGATGGTGTGAAAGCATTTGACCACAATTAATCACTAGTAATCAAACTAGCTGCAATAAAAAAAGAACCTTTCGTGCATTAAAGAAAGTAATAAAATGTTGCTTGTCCATTTATGTTTCATTTATAGAAAAAGAATAACTGCCGGTCGTTCCTTTGGGGAATGGTGTGAGTGGTTCAAAAGTTTCATTTTTGCCTGCTTAAACTGGGCAAAATATTCCATCTAGCCGGGCCCAGTTGAAACAAAACACGTTTGCCATCTTGGAGCCAATGGTAGGAAACTAAATCAATGGTGGTTGTTTGGGCAGGCAATTTGAAGTGCACTTACCGGATGCGGACCACTAAAACGTGATTTTATTTCAAAATAAGCACTTCTTTGGCACAAAAGTAACACTACAAGGTCTCCAGACCGCCATTTCAACAATCAATGTCGACTTAATAGTTGCCTTTATTGTCCCCATAAGCACTCTTCACAATCACATCTATGATATATTAGGAGGTGCTGTCACAAACCAGCCAACATTGCTATATATCTTTTCCCCTCTAGGTCTGGAGCTTGAAGCACTACAGCCAGCCATGCATTCAGATCAAGGCTCACAGTGCAGACTCAGTCTTGTGCTGTGATGTGTCATCTGATGGGCAGTGGCTCCTCTCTGGGTCTGCTAACAAAACTATTCAAGTAAGTAGCTTCATGGCTGATGTTCAAGGCTCTCACACATTTTCACTCATTTTTCTTCAATACTAAGTATTGCTGTTCTTATCTATGTGTGTTAATGTGGCACACACAAGAAATACGATAATGCTTGTCTATTATGAAAGTAAAACATAAATTCACCATGTATAGTAGTTCTTATCTGTCAGTAATTGTTGCTGTCAGTTGCAACAAATTAAGTGCACCTTACAGATCCCCAGCCAATTTAATTTTCAAGACCCCCTCCTTTACGACGTCTCTGATAATTGTATCATGGTTTTGGAACATTACTCCCAACAATTATTATTAGCTGTAACAAAGCCTCTTTTTTTAAGTTCTCTTGAGGTTGTAAAAACCAGGGAAAGCGTCAAGATAAACGTATTTTCAAGAGAGAGAGAGAGAAGAAGCTTTGTTCAAGTGCCCCTGCTGGGGTTAAAGGTGGCGGGGGGCCGGGAGACGGGCCCCTCTGTAACCCCCTTCCTCAGGCGGCGGCCAGGCCTTGAATCCTGGCGGCGTCTTCGGCCAGCCGGACAGCCCAGAGCTGCTCCTCCGGGCACATGCTGAGCAGCAAAGCCCTCACTGCTTGGCCGTGGTGATTGTGAATGTAGGGTTCGTGCTGTGTTTAACTGAGTGAGTAGCTTCAGGGCAGGCTCATATAATATGGTCGAGCTCAGCGTTAGGTGCACCGCACATTTTTTGCATTGTGGTGTGTGAATAACGGGGTAAATACGGCTGTACAGTGACGGACAGGGGAAAGTGCGTGTCTGTAATAAACGCCAGGTAGTGGACTGCTGCTTACTAAGGCACTTGTCTGCTGGTGGGCATTTAAGTCTGGCCTTGCCATAATACATTAGGATTTCTCCAAAGGTAACCATTCTGTCCCTCGCATTGTCACGAAACGAGGAGACCATCATCTCTCGCTCAGCCGCGTCAGGTCGCGAGGGGTGGTGCTCTGTTGGAAGACGCGCCCGGTGGACAAGAGCTCGGGCGGCGTCATGAGCGTGTTCGTTCCCCGCGAGCCCCGAGTGGCCCGGAGTCCAGATGATCTCAACGCGGCGACGACGTAACAGAGGTGTGCTTGTGAGAATTCGGAGCACTGGTTGGGAGATGAAACCTTTCGTAAAGTTGCGGATGGCAGTTTTGGAATCGCTGATGATGGAGGATGCTTGGGTTGAAGCGTAGGCGAGAGTGATGGCTGCTTCTTCGCCTTCTTCGGGTTCGTTTGCGCGAATGGTGCCAGTTGCGGTAATTATGTACTGCGGCCCGGTGGCGACAGCGAGGGCCACGGCCCGATGCGTAGGATATTCTGCTGAGTCTACATACGCCATGTACGTGGCTTTCGCGTAACGCTTGCCTAGTTGCTTGGCGTGGTCTACTCGTTTTTCCACGTTATATTCAGGGTGCATATTGCGTGGTATGGGAGGAATCACGAAAGTGTCGCGAATGTCCGAAGGAATTGGGAGTTTCTGGCCAAACTGGGAGACGCAAGGTATGCCGAGTGCGCACATGAGATGACGTCCTGTAGGAGTTTGGCCTAATCGTTCGTAGTGCGATATACGTTTGGCTTCAATGAATTCGTCTATGGTATTGTCCTAGTTCATTGAGTTTCGCATTGGGCGTAGACATGGGGAGACACAGCGTGCACTTGTAGCAGCGCCTGATAAATATGTTAAGATTTTTCTTGTCGGTGAGCGTAAGTTTCATAAATGGAGCAAGGTAAAGGATTCTGCTTATAGAGAAGACTGTCACCAGTCGTATGAGATTGGCCTCTTTCATGTCGTGCTGTTTATTGGCGATGCGGGAGATGAGCCTAGTAGTCTGATAGACATGATGGTGTAGTAGTTGCATTGTTTCCGAATTGCCGCCATTCTGCTGAATGCGGAAGTCCAATACGCGAATGGTAGGGATTTTCAAGGTAAGCAAAGTAGCACTAATCGCTGGTAAAAATGGGTGCTTTTCATAAAAATCACTACTACTTACCGGCTCTTCAGTGGCAGTTGTGTTTGTCCTCGTGCAGGTTTAAAAGAGAAAAAAAAATACATACAAGAGACTTTGGCCTTCTGGTATTTGCCGCACTGCCATTTCATTTAGCAGAGAAAAACTGCCTAATGCTACTTTGCTTTGCGGTTGTACTCTGCCGTAGGAAGGCGTCCCCCAGCTGCTTGGCGCATTGCATCAGTTCATCTTTCCCAGTGCTGCACTCGACCTTATTTCGAAGCAAGCACAGCAAATTTCTCGTCTCAGAAGATGTCGGCACCTCTCGAGGTGGTTCGCCATCCCCGTCGTCTCCGCCGCCCCCTACGTTAGTGGCCGTTTGAACACTTTTGGTGTCCGTCATTTCTCCAGTAACCACCACATCCTGCTCACACAGCGTTTGCTCCAGAAAAGTCATGTCATTTTCGGCGGCACTATTACCTATAAGCTTGATGACCTCTTAACAAAGTTCTTCACAGTCTTTGAAGCTATCCATCTCTGCTTCTGGCAAACTGGTGGCACGTGAAAACCCAGGGTGTGCAAAGCAGTTGGCGATAGCCACTGCTGTTACGGGCGTCTCTTGACCGTCGCCGTCAGCAGGTTGTGCTCGTAACTTGCATCAGGACCGACGAGAAGGGAAGTACCGGCGAGACGGCGCAGAACAGCAAATCAAAAGAGTTTAATACTACATAGTTAGACCAAAGTGGACATTCAAGTTTACAAACGAAGGTAAGAAGCCGAGGAGCAGAGTTCCGGCAGAGTCTCAATCCAGACTGCTCACCCAGTCTCTCCCTGCGCGTTTTTAAAGGGTTCCAGACGCTTGTGTGACGTCAGGTGCCTCCAGACATGACCAAATATGGAACACCTTGTGTTCGCACCACCTACCACGCCACTGGTCACGCCACCGATCACGCGACTGATCGCGCCACGGATCACACCACCGGCGTTCCCACACTCAAGAGCCAGGTGCGAATGAGCCACGAGCTCACCGCGTTCTCGCGCACAGCACATGACGACCTTCGCGGCAGCAGCGTCTCAGGTTCCTCGGCGTCTGGGCATACACTTCTGCGCCTCTACCCCCGATACGTTTACAGGCCCGGGAGCGTTCGCACGCTGTCCGTGGTCTTGCATTTGGGCCCAAAGGGGTTCGCGTAAAATGAAGCGTAAAAGACTGCCCCCTCGCGGATGGAGATCCCGAATGGCAGGGGACAGCATCCAGTGTCAACAGGGATCAGTCATCGAAGCTCGTAGCCTTCTTAACCTGGAGCACGGTACGTGATACCTGGCTCCAGGCCCTGTTCCGTCTCGTAAGGTAGTTCCGCCAGATTTCTCTGATGTTGTCGAGGTTCGCCGGAGGCTGGAGGCGAACCATACAATGGAATCCAGCAAATGGCGACAGTCAAAAGTGGCCAAAGACAATGGTATGAGCTCCTTTCCGGGGCGACCCCGCAGGGGCTCGTCGGTGGGACTGGTCGCCAGGCAGCTCCGGGTGGTGAGATCATCACACCCCACCGCTTCAGGTCTTTCATCAGCAAGAAGGGAAACCACAGGTTCTTCCGGCGTTCCTGCCAAGAGTTTGGAACCGACGTGGTGTCCGAAGAGATGCCAGATGACAACGAAGTCCTCTCTCTGGGAGAGCAAGATCCTCGCCATGGTAGAGCCGGTCGACTGAACAAACAATCCACGGGAAAACACAGGATAACAAAGCCACTGAAGAAGCAAGCGCGAGACACGTATCCACTGAGCCCCGCCAGGCTTACCTTAAACACAAAAGTCTCAATCTTATTACTCGTACAAAGTACTAAACACACGCCTAATTTCGTTGCCCACCTAACGACGCACAGGTCTTCCAAAACTATGGAAGAAATAATAACACAAAAACCTATGTCAGGAAGAAAAACAATCGAGGCCAATTCATGACCTAGGGGCTTCGGCTTAAGCCATCGGCATTGCCATTGAGACTCCCCTTTTTGTACCGTATTTCGTATGAATACTGCTGCAAAACGAGGCTCCAGCGCAGGAGGCGACCATTTTTGGAAGAAGTGGACTGCAGCCATCTGAGAGGACAGTGGTCTGTCTCTATTATGAACCTCGAGCCTGCAAGGTAGCACGACAACTTTTGCACTGCCCATACGAGACACGCACATTCTTTCTCGGTTGCGCTATACGCTTGTTCTCGCACAGTCAGCTTACGACTGGCATAAAGAACTGGGTGTTCACCGTCCTCTCCTCGTTGGCACAACACTACTCCCATGCCTCGCTCACTAGCATCACACTGAACTATGAACTCTTTCGAATAATCAGGTGGTTTCAGCACAGGTTGACCTGTTAAGGCGGCTTTTAATGCTTTGAAAGCCTCCTCTTTACGGTCATCCCAGATGACAGTTTGTGGCTCAGTTTTCCGGAGCGCGTCAGTTAAAGCGCTAGCTAATTCCGAATATCTCGGGATGTAACGTTGATAGTTACCTGCAACCCCCAGAAATGAGCGGATATCTGTCTTTGAGCGTGGTTGCGGGAAATCGCGTATGGCAGCCACCTTGAGCTCAGAAGGTCGGAGGCGTCCTTGTCCGATTATGTGACCTAGGTAGATCACCTCAGCTTGAGCGAGTTGGCATTTAGGTGCCTTCACAGTTAGTCCCGCTTCACGCAAACGCGTTAGAACCACTCGCAGATGTTGCATGTGTTCCGACCAAGAGGACGAATATATCGCCACATCGTCTAAGTAGGGTAAAGCGAATTCCCCTAGTCCTCGTAACACCTTGTCCATAAGGCTTGAAAAACAGTAGGGTGCATTTTCCAAACCGAAGCTTAATACCTTAGGGCGGAACGTTCGCAACGGCGATATGAACGCTGCATATCTGCTAGCCCTTTCGGTGAGAGGAACCTGCCAGTAGCCTCGAACGAGATCCAGCGTGGAAATATATCGAGCTCCACTAACCCTCTCAATGCGCTCTTCAATGTTTGGTATCGGGTAAATCTGATCTTTGGTGATCGAGTTTAGCTTGCGATAATCC